AAAGCAAGAAGTCCAAGCATGTTGTCAATAGCTAAATAAATTGTGATAAAGTTCATGAAAAGAAAATGTATTTGGCTTGGCATGGTGGCTCATGCCTATAATCCCAGCACTTTGGGAGGCTGAGGCGGGGAGATCACCTGAGGTCAAGAGTTCGAGATCAGCCTGGCCAACATGACGAAACCCTGTCTCTACTAAAAAAATACAAAAATTAGCTGGTTGTGGTGGTGAATGTCTGTAATTCCAGTTACTCAGGGGCCTGATTCAGGAGAATCGCTGGAACCCAGGAGGCAGAGGTTTCAGTGAACCAAGAGCATGCCACTGAACTCCAGCCTGGGCAACAGAGTGAGACTGTCTCAATAGAAAAAAAAAAAAAGAATTTTGTGCATGATCAAGTTGGCTGTAATTTAGTCTTTCTAAAGGTTGAACTTTGATATTGATACAGTTTGGCTCTGTGTCCCCACCCAAATCTCATCTTGAATTGTTATCCCCACGTGTTGAAGGAGGGACCTGGTTCATGGGGGTGGGTTTCCCCCATGCTGTTCTCATGATAGTGAGTTCTCACATGATCTGATGGTTTAAAATTGTGGCACTTTCTCTCTCTCTGTCTCAATCTCTCTCTTTCTCTCTCTCTCTCTCTCTCTCTCTGTCTCTCTCCTGCAGCCATGTAAGACGTGCCTTGCTTCCGCTTCACCTTCTGCCATGATTGTAAGTTTCCTGACACCTCCCCGGCTATGCAGAACTGTAAGTCAATTGAACGTTAAAAAAAATAAATAAATTACCCAGTCTCAGGTAGTTCTTTATAACAGTGTGGAAATGAACTAATACAGATATTAAAAATGCTGGCTGGGCATGGTGGCTCATGCCTATAATCCCAATACTTTGGGAGGATCACTTGAGGTCAGGAGTTCGAGACCAGCCTGGCCAACATTGCGAAACCTGCCTCTAGTAAAACTACAAACATTAGCTGGGCATGGTAGTGGGTGCCTGTAGTCCCAGCTACTCAGGAGGCTGAGGCAGGAAAATTGCTTGAACCCATGGGGTGGAGATTGCAGTGAACTGAGATGGCACTACTGCAGTCCAGCTTGGATGACAGAGCAAGACTCTGTCAAAAAAAAAAAAAAAAAAAAAAGAAAGAAAGAAAAGGAAAAAAAAAAAGAAAAAAAAAGCACTAATGCAAAACTAAAAAACTTTAGTCGTCTATGTTAGAATAAAGTTTTCTTAAAGTATTGATTTGCTCTATATAGAATTACAAGAGGTTCTGGTTTTTAATTCTGGAATCTGTTTAACAACCATCTTTCTATAGTACTTCTATTTCTTCCTGAGATATAATCAACCTCCCTAGTTTCAGGTTCGAAATGCTATCTTTTTCATTCAGAATGCGATTTTATTCTCAAGGTAAATTTTTTTCTCTTTGAAACTTCTCAGATTTATTTATCAGAAGATCATTCTTCACAGTATCTCATTGCTTGTGATGTAAGCCTTCTGTTCTTTCTCCTCTTGAAATGGTATATTATTTTTGCTTGGCTGAGGTGATAACTTTCTCGTTCCACCTTTTTTTTTCAATTCCTGTAAATTTCCGCCCTCCCGGTTTTAATTCTACTGTTATGGCCCATTGCTGAAATGTTTATCTTGCAGGTCAAGAAAAGCTATATTTTCTTCCAGTATAAATTGATTCTGTACTCTTGGTTTTTCTTGATGTGTCTGAATTGCTTCGTGTAACTAGGAAACTTCCCATGCTGTTACTAAGAGCTATGTTTTCCCCCCTGCTCAAGGTACTAGCTTTCTTATTTTTTGTGTTCTAATTCCTGAAGTTGTACAGTTGGGTTATTGATTTGACATCTTTTTTCTTTCATATAGGCATGTAGAGCTATAAATTTTTCTCTTAGTAGTAAGCATAGCAAACTTTGGTAACGTGTTTTTATTTGTATTCATCGAAAATATTTTCTAAATTTTTGTATTTGTTCTTTAATCCTTTGGTTAAGATTCCATTGATTTGGCACAAGACAAAGATGCCTTCTCTTACCACTCCTATTCAACATAGAAATTCAGCTGAATTTCAGTTATCGGAACTTGCCAACATGAAGACAATGGGATTTAGTCCTACAAATTAAGCGAGAAACTGAATGAATTAAGCCATGAGATATCAGATGGCATACAGGATTTAATATTGAAATTCTTCAATTTTACTTAGGAATTTCTTCAGCTATGGGAATAATCTTTTGGTGATGCTCCAATTTTTAACTGGATCAATTTGCAATTTGTGTCAGAATGGAGTGCAGTTGAGAAGCCTTATGTTATTGCAGCATCTAAATTTGGCTTAACATTCAAAGGAATCATAAATAGAACCTTTATGTTTGCCTTGTAAAGATAATTCTCAAAGAAATGTACCCTTCTTAGACAAAGTGGCAAAAAAAGAGATGTACCTTGAAGGCAAGATACATTAACTGCTAGAATATTAACTGCAATCTAATTTTTCCATATTCAATATTCACAATACTTGTGAGGATATCTTCCATTTCATTGGATATATTCTGAGCCTTCTGGTTACCTTAGTATATGCGGAGTATATATCTCAACTTAAAAAGTATGGTGTTCAGAGAAGAGTCATTTGAAGGTAGCTATAATTTTGAGTTTATTAAACATAAAGTCCAACATTGAAGATTGCATAAAATTTTATCAAAACTTAAAAATAATAGACCACATTGAAAGAAAATACTTAAAAAGAATGGTGATACTGATTAGGAAATTGATTAAAGTATCAGAATATACTTAAATATAATTATTCTCCTCTTTATTCTAATGTTTAGTTAACATAAATAGCTTAAAAATTTTTTTTGCTTACTACAAAATTGGTATTTTGCTTTAACATATGTATGTTATTGTTTTACCCTTTAGGATATAACAGAATATTATAATTAATACAGGAATTTTTCAAACATTACATAGTTTCAATTACTTTAGTATTCATACCTTTTCAAATTTGTACTACTTTGGACAATATATACTCAGCTGTTATTGATTTCTAATTTAATTCAATTTTTGTCAACATGCTTTGTATGACTTGAATCCTCTTACGTTTATTGAGACTTGTTTTATGGCCCATACTGGTTAAGTATCCCCTGTCCACATAAATGAATTTTACTGTCATTGAGGAGAGTGTTCCACAAATATAAATGAGATCAAGTAAGTTGATATGTAGCTCAAATCTGCTACACCCTGTTGCTTTTCTGTGTTTGTTTTCTCAATTACCAAGATAGATATATTGAAATATCTGACTACAATTTGATATCTGTCTCCTTTTTAATCTAACGGATTTTTCTTCCCATACTTAGAAGCTTTGCTTTTAGGAGCAAAATTTATGTATGTTTTTTCTACTCGATGAGCTGTCTGCTTTATCATTATTATGATGTACCCTTCTTTATCCCCGGTAATAGTCTTTGTCCCGGAGTCTACTTTGTTTTTAATAAAGCCACTCCAACTTTTTTGACTAGTGTTAGGATGGTGTATATTTTCCCATCCTTTTACGCTTAACCTTTTAGTGCTTTTCATTTAACATATTACCCGTAGGTAGCACACATTTGGGTCTGACTTTTTATTTATGTATTTTTTATTATTATCTTTTTTTTATTATACTTTAAGTTCTAGGGTACATGTGCACAACGTGCAGGTATGTTACATATGTATACATGTGCCATGCTGGTGTGCTGCACCCATTAACTCATCACTTACATTAGGTATATCTCCTAATGCTATCTCTTCCTGCTCCCCCCACCCCACGACAGGCCCCAGTGTCTTATGCTCCCCACCCTGTGTCCAAGTGCTCTCATTGTTCAATTCCCACCTATGAGTGAGAACATGTGGTGTTTAGCTTTTTGTCCTTGCAATAGTGTACTCAGAATGATGGTTTCCAGCTTTATCCATGTCCCTACAAAGGACATGAACTCATCCTTTTTTATGGCTGCATAGTATTCCATGGTGTATATGTGCCACATTTTCTTAATCCAGTCTATCATTGATGGACATTTGGGTCTGACTTTTTAAAAATGCAATCTGACAATCTTTTTAAGTTAAGGTGTTTAGACCATTTACATTTAATGTGATTATTGATATGGTTGAGTTGATTATCTTGTTATTCGTTTTCTGTCACAATTCTGGAATGAAAAGACGTTTTGCTCTTTAGTATTCCATGTTTCCTCCTTATGTGGCATAGGAAACTAGAAAAATGATTTTGAAAGTTCAGTGTTGTTAGACTACAACAGTGAAATCAGGCTCTTCCTAGAAAAAGCAAGCCCTTTTTTGCATTTGTTTATACTATTTTAACAAAGTGTTAATTATTCATCCTTCAAGATAAAGCAAGCAATTCTCTGTGTATTTTTATCCGTTTCCATGTCGTCCTGAATCACGTTTTTCTCTCCAGGTAACAGGAACATTGTCTCGAGGAATCCAAGACATTTGATTCTGAAATCTCCAATGTGAACCATACTTCCTGTCCTAGTATATAACCAACCAATTCTTTAGTTCAAGCTTTTCAAATTTATCCTAAGTCCCCTTCAAATAGCACAGAGAAGTGGAAGTCTATTGCTGGGAGTTAAAGCACCCACATCTTGACATAATTTTACTTTAAATTCTTCTTTCTTCTTTAAAAGTTCTGCTCATTTGCATTCTCCATGGAGAGAAAAAGCAAGTTATACTGACGCTCCAGAGGGAAACGCTCCTCTCAGATGGGGATCCTCGCCCAAGGCAGAAACCTGTGCACCCCGCGGGCTGGAACTCCCACGAATCCACTAGTCTCGGCTCCCTTTGGGGTCAGCCCCCATAGTATGGTGGGATCAACCCGAGAGGCTCAGAGCTCAAGGCTTCTGAGGCTTTTTCTGTTCAGGACTGTATTTCCCAGCGGCCACCGCGCCAGTTCACTTCCGGTCTCCGGGGTGACGACATAGTGCGGTGAGGTCTTCACGTCCGAGGACGAGATCCGTGGCTGCGGGAGGTCTCTGGTGACTGGGGCTGGAGCCTGACTGACCCGACAGTGCGGGTGGGCTAGAGGGAGGTACTCAGAGTAGGAACCCCGGGGCGCAGACGGGATCTGTCGGATCCCCAGGCGTGCGTGTGCGCGGGCATCAGAGGAGGGGGATTGTGAGATCATGAGTGACGGAGGGGACTGTGTGAGTGTGTGCGTGAGGCCCTATGCACAGGCCCGGGAAGGCGTGTGGACGCAGCGCACTTTGCTGGGGCTGTGTGAGCGTCACTATGCTGGTGCCCGCAAGCTCCTGCTGCTTCCTCCCTCTTTCCCCTTCACAGCTGCGGGGACTGCAGCAGAGCAATGGCCCCAGTAGGGAGGTCAGATATTGAGCCGAGAATGAAGCTTTACACAAGAAAGCGCAGAAGTGCCCCCGACTGTTCCCCAGGAGGGCAGCTACATGTTGAGAACCACAGCGTCCTCAGAGCTCTGTCCCCAGAAAGCAGCTCCAAACTGGTTGTACTGGTTGAACCGATTCCGCCTCCTTTTACTTCCTTCCTATTTCGTGTGAAGTGAGGGAAATTGTGGCCATGGAGGGAGGGTGCTTTCAAACTCAGTCTGCGCTCCAAGAAAAACCTGGAGTCTCACGCTTGCCGTACCCTTCCCCAGTCGTGTTATTATCCAAAAGAAGCACCTGGAGGAAGATGAGAGCATTATTTCTGCACATCTAAAAGTCAAGGGTGAGTTCGTGCTTTGTATTTGCTCAAGAAATGCGTTTTTGATTTTAGAATATTGAGATTCCCATAAATTTTCAGTGAATCTAGGGGGATATGCAAATTAATTCGTGCACCCTCCTTCACCTTTCCACTTAATATTCACAAAACCATTTGGCAAATCGTTCACACCTTCCTGTGCGCTCTCTTTTTCGAAGCTGGTATGGAAATACACCTCCAGTAGTTAATATTAAAACTCCATTTAGACCCATATTTGGGAAGGAGGAGATTAGTGTTTAGGTGGAATCCCACACCAGACGTCAGTTGGTCTTTACAGACCTCCTTTTCAAAACAGGGAAGAATGGAGATGGTTGGATGATTTCCATTAGTCTGTGAGGCATTCGGGAGTGGAAAACTGACCGCACAGAAATTGGTATCAACAAGAGCCAGGATTTTTCCAGGGAGTCCATGAGATGATATTTGTTATACTTGCCAGATCTCTCTGAGGTTTGGCAGCTTCCGTTGTGTTTTGGGCGTGTGTGTGTGTGTGTGTGTGTGTGTGTGTGTGTGTGTACTGTGAGAGGCAATACACTGTTGTGGTTAAGAATAGGGGAGTGGATCCAGAGTATTTGGGTTGGAATGTTGGTTCTATCATGAGAATGAATGAATATCGTAAAGCCCCTTAGAGCAGAGATAGGCATATAATAACGTTTAATATGTTTTAACTGTTGTTTTTGTGTAGTCATTTTAAGTCATTCCCTTGACTCTCTATAGAACAGGAACATTGGGAATATGTGATTCATTGCGATGGCTGCTTGTATATTAAGAAAATGAGTGAGGTGCTCAAATGATCTAGGACAGAAATTATTTTTAAATCGACAGATATAATTGTATGTATTTATCATGTGCAACATGAAGTTTTATGGTATGTATACATTGTGGAATGACTAAATCTAGCTAATTAACAATGCATTACCTCACATAGTTATCATTTTTGTGGTAAGAACACTTAATATCGCCGGGCGCGGTGGCTCAAGCCTGTAATCCCAGCACTTTGGGAGGCCGAGACGGGCGGATCACGAGGTCAGGAGATCGAGACCATCCTGGCTAACACGGTGAAACCCCGTCTCTACTAAAAATACAAGAAAATTAGCCGGGCGAGGTGGCGGGCGCCTGTAGTCCCAGCTACTCGGGAGGCTGAGGCAGGAGAATGGCGTGAACCCGGGGGGGCGGAGCTTGCAGTGAGCCGAGATCGCGCTACTGCACTCCAGCCTGGGGCACAGAGCAAGACTCCGTCTCAAAAAAAAAAAAAAAAAAAAAAAAACAACACTTAATATCCACTCTCCTAGCATTTTTCAAGGCTACAGAATATTGTTATTAATTGTAGATACCATGTTGTGTAATAGATCTCTTGAACTTATTTCTCTTCCTGAAATTTTGTATCCTTTGACCAACATTTCCCCAGTCAACACTGCCCTCCTTCCTCCCTCACCCACATTATCCCAGATCTGTAAATACCATTCTACTCTCCACTTCTGTGATATCAACTTTTTTAGATTTGGCTGATGAGTGAGATCGTGTGTCTTTCTGTGCTTGGCTTACTTCACTTAATATGATGTTTTCCAGGCTCATCCATGTTTTTGCAAATGACAGAATTTCCTACTTTTTATGGCTAAATAGTATTCCCTTGTGTATATATACCTGCATATATATTACATTTTCTTTATCCATTCATTGATTGTTAGACACGTAGGTTGATGCCATATCTTGGCTATTGTGAATAGTGCTGTAATAAACATGGCTGTGCTGATATCTCTTTGACATACGGATTTCATTTCCTTTGGAGATATATTCCCAGTATTGGGATTACTGGATCATATGGTAGTTGTATTTTTAACTTTTTGAGTAACCTCCATACTGTTTTACATAATGGCTGTGCCCATTTACATTCTTGCCCACAGTGTGCAAGAGTTCCCTTTTCTCTACATTCTTGCCAATACTTGTTAACATTTGTCTTTCTAGTAGCCCCCCTAACAGGTATGAGGTAATATCTTATTGCAGGTTTAATTTTCATTTCCCTTATGATTAGTGATGTTGAGTATTTTTTCATATACTGTTGGCCATTTTTTATGTCTTCTTTTGGGATGTGCTTATTCGGGTCCTTTGCCCATCTTTTAATCAGGTTTTTTTTTTGCTGTTGAGTTGTTTGACTTCCTCATATATTTTGGATCTTAATCTCTTATATATATGGTTGCAAATATTTTCTCTCATTCTACAAGATGTCTCTTCACTTTGTTGATTGTTTCCTTTTCTGTGCAGAAGGTTGTTAGCTTGATATCATTTCATTTGTTCATTTTTGCTTTTGTTGCCTTTGCTTTTGAGGTCATATCCCAAAAAAAATCATTGCTCAGATCAGTTTCATAGAACTTTCCCCCTATGTTTTCTTCTATTTGTTTCATAGTTTAGGATCTTACATTTAGGTATTTTATCTGTTTAGAGTTGATTTTTGTATAATGGTTTGAGATAAGGGTCTAATTGCATTTTTCTGCATATGGATACCTATTTTTCACAGTAGTATTTTTTGAAGAGTCTTTTCCCCATTGTATGTTCTTGGCACCCTCCTCAAAACTCAGTTGGTTATAAATATATGGATTTATTCTGGGCCTCTCTATTCTGTTTCTTTGGTCTATGTGTCTTATTTTATGTCAGTACCCTGCTGTTTTGGTTACTATAGCTTTGTAGTATATATTGAAGTCAGATAGTTTGATACCTCCAACTTTGTTCCTTTTTGCTCAAGATTGCTTTAGCTATTTGGGTCTTTTGTGGTTCTATACAAATTTTTGCATTTTTTGTTTTTTCCTATTTCTCTAAGGAATATAGGACAGAAATTCTTAACCTGAGTTCTTGTGACTCCATTTATGGTCTCAGGGACCAAGAGCTCTTGAAATAAAATATTGAAGTATTATAGAAATTTATAAATATGGGTTTTAGAGGGAGAAATAGTGTATCATTTCATAAGATTATAAAAAAATTTATGTGACCCATGAGGTTTGGATCCATTGATCTAGATAGAACATTGTTTCTCAGCTGGGGTGATGTTTAGAAACTTTTGATTGTCATGATGTCGGGGAGGGTGCTACTTAGATCTAATGGATGGAGGTCAGGAATGCTGCTGAACATTATATTATGCACAGGATAGCTCTCCCCACTCCCCCAACTAAGAATTATCTAGCACAATATGTCATTAGTGCCTAGGGTGAGAAACTGTGGTCTAGAATCAAAAGATTGTGATATCTGGAATGACATTGTAAATGATCTTGTATAAACTAAGTGTTCTGTAATACAGAAATCATTAAGTTAATCATATTAGACTTAAGTGATAGAGTGTTATGCAGGTAATAAAATGATGTCTATAAGGAATTATGAAAAGTATTTGATATATCATTAAGCAATATTCATGCTATGAGCAATAATACTCAAGAAAATGTTACATGAGACGGGGTACAGTGGCTCACACCTGTAATCCCAGCACTTTGGGAGGCTGAGACAGGCAGATCATTTGAGGTCAGGAGTTTGAGACCAGCCTTGCCAACATGGTGAAACCTTGTCTCTACTAAAAATACAAAAACTAGCCAGGGGTGGTGGCAGGTGCCTGTAATCCCAGCTACTCAGGAGGCTGAGGCAGGAGAATTGCTTGAACCTGGGAGGCAGAGGTTGCAGTGAGCTGAGATCAGGCCACAGCACTCCAGCCTGGGTGACAGAGCAAGACTTCACCCCTGCCCCCCCAAAAGAAATTGTTATATTGTATATGAATCCCATATACTAAGATAGGGTTTTTGTATAAGAATTCTGTAAGAATCATATCTAAAGGCATTCTATAAGAATTATATCTAAAATAATATTTTAATTGGTTATTTGGTGAAGAAGGAAACCAAGCATGGTGGTGTATATTCCACAAATTTTCTCACATAGTTTGCAAATGCCACTTATCTGCATTGTGTTCATTCGGAGAAGAATCTTGATAATGAGAATATCTAATTATATTGGTGAGATACAGCTAAAGGATATTAGAACTACCTGATGTTATTTTTTATAGTCACATTAACCTCTTGTTGAACCTCATGACAGGCTCAGGTTTTTTTTCCTGATAACTCTGTTTTTATTTTTTACTTCGAAAGTAGAAATAGACTATCATTAATGCATACAAGACATTGGTTGGGGACTTGCAGAAAATTCTTTCTAGAAATTGTTCCAATATACATAGAAAAACATAGACATCTTAGTGATGGTCAAGAATTGGAAAATAAAGGAAACAAACTCATTAAGTAAAAACAACAGCTCATTAGATTATCCTGATTTTTTCCCCCCAAGTTCAAAGGGAGATTTCTAAATAAAAAGTATCTTTCATGTAATTTGGAGAAGTTTCCTCATAGGAAAGAAATGTGTATATACATTTACATATGTCCATATATAGAGATGCATACACACACACGTGTGTGTGTGTGTGTGTGTATATATATATATATGTGACTATAACTATAAATATTCCAAGTTAATGCCTGGATGTAGTTACAATTTTTTTTTTTTTCTGACATGAAGTCTCGCTCTGTTGCTAGGCTGGAGTGCAATGGTGTGATCTCGGCTCACTGCAACCTCTGCCTCCTGGGTTCAAGCGATTCTCGTGCCTCAGCCTCCCGAGTAGGTGGGATTACAGGCATGTGCCACCACACCCAGCTAATTTTTGTATTTTTAGTAGAGACGGGGTATCACCATGTTGGCTAGGATGGTCTCGATCTCCTGACCTCATGATCTGCCTGCCTTGGCCTCCCAAAGTGCTGGGATTACAGGTGTGAGCCACCGTGCCCGGCCACACCTTTTTGCTTCTTAAGCAAAAAGAAGAAAATTGGAGCTACACAGAGGAGAACTCTTAACATGCATATAATTTTCTAAATTTTTTTCTATTGATGTCTGTTAGTCTTTTTATTAACATTTCTATATACATATATTTTACAAATGTAATCATATTATCCTGTTTTGTAATCTAATTTTTCTGTTAATCATAGAGTACCATGTATTCTATTACGTGGATGTTCTAAACTGTATTAACCAACTGGCTTTTGCTGAACTCAGAATGCTGAACACTGCCCTTGCAATTCTGTCTGTATATCCTTTCCAGTTCTCATGCCTTGCCCCACTGCACCCAATCCTGATTTCACAAAGAGGTTCTGGATTGGATGATGCGATCCCTTCTCAGCTCTGAAAGGTGGGACTAGGGGAGGAGGATCTGCTTAGGGCAGGATCAGAGGTCCAGTCCTAGGCCAAGATAGGTATCCCAAGAACGGAGGACTGGCTGGAAGCCACAACTTCAAGGCAGAAATGCCTGTGCTCAGCATTCATGCTTCTGCCGCAGGTTGCCTTGGATGTAGGCGAGAGCTTGGTTTCATCCCAACTCCACCTATTCACTGCCAGTTTATTTGTGAGAGAGTGTGTGTGGACGAGGGGAGTTTTGGGAGGTGGTGGAAGTGTGCATGTTAGCAGGAGTAGTTGAGAAATAGGAATGGAGAATAAAATAGTTATTTGCTTCAATGTTTTGAGAGCATTGAGACACAGCTTTAATTATGGCCTTTTCTTGTTGTTGTTTTCCAGGGGAGAAGCACGAGGAAGATTGACCAATTTTGTAATTCTAGAAACATGGTCCATGTAAGTTGATATTTCTCTCTTTTCCTTCAAATATGGTGATTTTCGGGTTAGGTGACTGTTATTATTTAACCTGAAGCTTCTTACCCAGGATCTATGATCTTACACCCCAGTTTGTCCCATTATAGTGAAGGTTGGTGACAACAAAAAAAAAAAGTCAGTGCTCTTGCTATTTGTACCTCTGTTTCCTGCTGGCTTTGATGTTTTCTTTGAACAGGTTATTCAGTCTGTGCTCTGTGCTCAGACCTTGGTCAGGAAGAATATTGGAACAGTGGAGGAATCAGTCCCCACAGGGAAACAGGGTCTTATGGGTTTGATAAGTTACAGATGATTGACCACACTTGGGAACACTTTGAAACTTCACAGACTAGAGCTTTCCAGGTAGCTAAGGTCGAATTCCATAGTGAGTGGCCTCAGTCTGCAAGTGTGACAAGGTGTTCTGCTTTATGAGGCTTTTAGGAAAGTGATCAGTGAGGACAGTGGGCAGTAACAGGGAGAAGATAATTCAGGGCATGAATGATAGGTGATTACAGATTCTCTGGCCGGACGTGGTGGCTCACGCGTGCAGTCCCAGCACTTTGGGAGGCCGAGGCGGGTGGTGGATCACTTGAGGTCAGGAGTTTGAGACCAGCCTGGCCAACATGGTGAAACCCCGTCTCTTCTAACAACAACAACAACAACAATATTAGCCTATTGTGGTGGTACGCACCTGTAATCCCAGCTGCATAGGAGGCTGAGGCAGGAGAATTGCTTGAACCCGGGAGGTGGAGGTTGCAGTGAGCTGCGATCGTGCCACTGCACTCCAGCCTGGGTAACAGAGTGAGACTCTGTCTCAGGAAAAAAAAAAAAAATTATCAGAATTGGGAAAATCCTTAGAGGCCCTGGCCATCCTCAATGTATAAATAGAAAAAAATGAATAAATCTAATATGTCAATTATATTGACTTTCATGCAGCTTTTAAAAATCATTTGTCATGACAAGAAAAAATACTTTTGCTATCATCTCATACCATAATGAGCTTGAGGATTAAGAACATTCTTCAATTGTATGCAACCCCCACCTTTTTTTGTTTGTTTGTTTTTCTGAGATAGGGTCTTGCTCTGTGGCCCAGGCTGGAGTGCAGGGCGTGATCACAGTTCACTGTAGCCTTGAACTCCTGGGCTCAAGCGATACTCCTACCTCAGTCTCCCAAGTAGCTGGGACTACAGGTACGTGATACCACACACAGTTACTTAAAGTTTAATTTTTGCAGAGACAGGATATCATTATGTTGCCCAGGCTAGTCTCAAACTCCTGGGTTCAAGCAATCCTCCCACCTCGACCTCCTGAGTAGCTGGGACTATAGGGATGAGCCACCATGCTCAGCCAGCAGCAGGATTCTTGAAGAATGTGCAGGCACTCTGTGAATTTCCATATTGCTTTTTTCTTACAGTACACTCCTTCACTTCCTCTCCTTTCATCTTGAAACAATTTTCTTCAATTTCACCATAACACATGTGTTTGTGGTTTCAGGGATCAGTGACATTCAGGGATGTGGCCATTGACTTCTCTCAGGAGGAGTGGGAGTGCCTGCAGCCTGATCAGAGGACCTTGTACAGGGATGTGATGTTGGAGAACTACAGCCACCTGATCTCACTGGGTAAGGTCATTGGTCCCAGTTATTTTTGTGTCTGTTCTCTGGAATATCAGCTTTCTTCACCGTGAATTTCAGGGCTATCTTTTAAGAGGTGGCTGAATTCCTTCTTGTTCCCAAAGGAATGGATTGAGATTTGTTGGGTTGAAAACAGGCACCTCCCTGAGCCCCTGTATCTTGCCTACTCCACAGTGGCCTCCATTACACTGGTCCTTTCTGTAATTGCCTCTCTCTCTCCATAACCATGGGGCTGAATTTGAAATCTTGTACGTTCATTGAAAGATACTGTCTAAGAACCAGGTTTCATGTTATGTTTGATGTCAGAATTACTGTAGATTTTCTGTTTTTTGGTTTGTTTTTGTTTTTTTGGCCCACCTGTAAGGAGAAGAGTGTCTTGAATTTTTCTATCAAAGAAACCTCTATGATCACTGGGAGGTTGAGGCTGCAGTGAGCTGTACCCATCACTGCACTCCAGCCTGGGCAATAGACTGAGACCTTGTCTGAAAAACAAAAACAGACAAACAAAAATGTCTGTTATTTACATACACTGATTGGGTTGACAGAAATTCATTTAACACTAAAGTGAATGCATTTCATTTCCTTCAATAAACATTGCGTTACTTGTTTTGTAGCTGAAAGTTTCAGGCTATGGAGTTTATGTATTTTCATTGAGTGAATATACTGAGTGAGCTGTATATGTCTAAGGATGCAAAATAAATGACAATAATAAACATAATCTTGACTTTGTGCTACTGTATATCACGCAATGTTAGAAGTATTTTACTTATATTAACTTATTTAGTCTTAGTATCAATCCTATAAAATAGGTGTTATATCATCCCCATTTTAGAGCTGGGAAAACTGAAGGACAGAGTTTAAATGACTTACCTGAGGTCATACTGCTAGTGAGTAGCAGAGACAGGATTTGAACACGGCAGTCTGGCTTGAAGTTTCCTGCTCTCAACCATTCAGTTATCCCTCTTTTTGAGGGATAAGATTCTGAGTTAGAAAAGAGTTCTCTTACTCAACCTCTCACTCTTATCTGAAGTCTCTTCTCAATATTGTTTTGACTTGTAATTTATTATAAGTTTAAGCAGGTCACAAAGATTTGAAAAAAAAAAATTTGTATTAAAAAAATTTTACATGTGTCATTTCTTTTACGCAGGAAGTTCCATTTCTAAACCAGATGTGATTACGTTACTTGAGCAAGAGAAAGAGCCCTGGATGGTTGTAAGGAAAGAAACAAGCAGATGGTATCCAGGTAAATGAGGGTAAAGCAGGCAGGGGGAAGCCATCATTGTCCCGGACAGCCATGTGCTCAGAAAGGAGTCACACCCCTGAGATGTGGTTTGAAAAACTTTCTTCGATGACCTAAGTTGTGTTGGATAAAAATGCCCAAGACCTGGGAAGGAAGTAAAGATTATAGCAGAAGCCGTCGCCAAGGAACTTCATCATTTACTAACCACCTAATTTCTGTTCTCTTATTTCCTTCCCCTTTTAGTGGAGTAAGTTCCCTCTGTTTTTCCCAGTGTAAACTTTTTTTTTTTTTTAATGGAATCTTGCTCTGTTCTGCAGTGTGGAGTGCAGTGATGTGATCTTGACTCACTGCAACCTCTGCCTCTTGGGTTCAAGCAATTCTCATGCCTCAGCTTCCCAAGTAGCTGGGATAACAGGTGCCCACCACTGCACCTGGCTAATTTTTGTATTTTTAGTAGAGATGAGGTTTCACTGTGTTGGCCAGGTTGTTCCTGAACTCCTGACCTCAGGTGATCTGCCCACCTCAGCCTCCCAAATTCCTGGGATTACAGGTATGAGCCATTGTGCCCAGCCCATTTGCCAACTTTTTAATAGGATTTTTTTTTTTTTGGCTGTTATTTGAGTCTTGTCAGAGAAATAGTTTGCAAATAACTTCTCTCATTTAATTTTGTCTATTCCCTCTGTTGATACTTTCGTTTGCTCTGCAGAAGCGTTTTAGTTTAATACAGTTCCATTGATCTGTTTTTGTTTTTGCTGCCTGTGCCTTTGCAGTGTTAACCAGAAAATTTTTGCCTAGGTCAATGTCCTGAAGCACTTCCTTTATGTTTTCTTTTAGTTGTTTTGTAGTTTTGAGTCTTACATTTAAGTCTTTAATCCATTTCCAGTTGATTTTTGTATATGGTGAGAAATAGGGGTCTGGTTTCATTCTATCGCATATGGATATCCAGTTGCTCCAGCACCATTTCTTTATTTATTTTTAATTATTATTTTCCAACTTTTATTTTAGGTCCAAGGGGTACATGTGTGGGTTTGTTATATGGGTAAATTGCACGTTGTGGTGGGTTTGGTGTACAGATTATTTCACCACCCAGATAATAAGCATAGTACCCAATAGGTAGTTTTTGGATCTTCATCCTCCCACCCTCTACTCTCAAGTAGGCCCTGATGTCTGTTGTTCTGTTTTTTTGTGTCCATGTGTACTCGGTGTTTAGCTCCCACTTATAAGTGAGAATATGTAGTCTTTGGTTTTCTGTTCCTTCATTAATTTGCTTAGGATAATGGCATCCAGTGCCATCCACATTGCTGCACATAATCTTGTTCTTTTTTATGGTTATGTAGTATTCCTTGGGCTATATGTACCACATTTTCTTTAGCCAGGTAACCATTCATGGACATTTAAGTTAATTCCATGTCTTTGCTATTATGAATGGTGCTACAATAAACATAGGCATTCATGTGCCATTAGGTTAGAACTATTTTCTTTTTTTGTTTCTTCCTTGTCTGGTTTTTGTTTCATGGTATGCCAGCTTCATAGAATGAGTTAAAGAGAATTTCCTCCTCTGAAATTTTTTGGAATAGTTTGAGGAGAATTGGTATTAGTTCTTTGAGAGTTTGGTAGATAGAATTCAGCAGGGAAGTCATCAGTCCTGGAGTTTTCTTTTTTGGGCGACATTTTATTACTGATTCAATCTCATTACTCATTATTGGCCTGTTCAGCTTTTCTGTTTTGATGATCTTTTCTGTTTCTGTGCTGTCAGTGGTAATATCTCCTTTTTTATTTCTGATTTTGCTTATTCTCTTTTCTTCTTGGTTAGTCAAGCTAGTGGTTTATTAATTATATTTATGTTTTTTAAAAAACAACTTTTCATTTCATTGATCTTTTGTATTATTTAGTCTGTATTTTATTTAGTTCTGCCCTGATTTCATTGGATTGTTTATTTGAAATCTTTCTACTTTTTCAATGTTGGTGTTTATTGCCATCAACTTCACTCTTAGCAGTGCTTTTGCTGTATCCCATAGGTTTTGCTATGTTGAATTCTGATTTTCATTTGTTTCAAGAAATTTTTTGATTTCCTCCTTAATTTCTTTCTTGACCCAGTGGTTATGTATGAGCAGGTTGTTTAATTTCCATGTGTTGTACAGTTTCCAAAGTTCGTCTTGTTACTGATTTCTTGTTCTATTCCATGTCTGAGAAAAGACTTGATTATTTTTTTGAAATTTTTAATTTTGTTAAGTTTCTTGGATATATCAGAAGAATTCTAAGGTAAGTAAAAAAAAAAAAACGATTGATATAAGGTACAGAATGAACAGATTGCATGATGGTCCTGATCAGCTAAGAGCAAAAAAAAAAAAAAAAAAAAAAAAAGAATTGCATCCTAACATATGGTCTGTCCTAGAGAATGTTCTATGTGCTAATGAGAGTATGTGTATTCTGTAGCTATTTGATGAAATGTTCAGTAAATGTCTGGTAGGCCTGTTTTGTCTAATGTGAAGTTTAAATCCAATGTTTCTTTGTTAATTTTCTATCTAGATGATCTGTCTAATTCAGAGTGGGGTGTTGAAGTCCCCAGTGATTATTGCCCTGGAGTATATCTCTCTCCCTTTTGATCTAATAATATTCACCTTATATATCTGGGTGTTCTGGTGTTGGGATTATAGTATGTTTAGAATTATTATATCCTCTTGCTGAATTGATCCCTTTATCATTATACCATGACCTTCTTTGTCTCTTTTTGCTGCTTTTGACTTAAAATCTTTCTGATATAAATATAGCTATTCCTGCTCACTTTGGTTTCCATTTGCATAGAATATCTTTTACTATTCCTTTACTTTCAATCCATATGTTTCTTTACCAGTGAGATGAGTCTCTTGTTGGCAGCATATAACTGGGTCACTTTTTTTTTTAATCCATTCAGCCAGTCTATATCTTTTAGATGAAAAGTTTAATCAATTTACATTCAATGTGATTACTGATATGTGAGGGCTTATTCTTGTCATTTTATTAATTGATTTCTAGTTGATTTGTATATCCTTTGTTCCTTTCTTTCTCTTTTATTTTTTATCATTGTGGTTTGGTTGTTTTCTATAGGGATAACATTTGAGTTATTTCTCCTTATTTGTGTATTTGCTGTGTCAGTGGGTTTTATAATTTTGTATGTTTTCACAATGGTAGATATTCTTTCACTTCTAAGTGTAGGACTCTTAAGCATATCTTGTAGAGCTGGTCTACCCTCAGCTTTTGTCTGGGAAAGATTATTTCTTCTTCATTTATGTTGGATAATTTGCTGAGGATAGTATCCTTGATTGGCAAGTTTTTTCTTTCAACACTTTGAATATATCATTTCATTCTCTCTCATTTCTTTCTGTTGAGAAATCTGCTATTTGGCTGATGAGAGTTCCCTTGTAAGTAACTAGATGCTTTTCTCTTGCGGTTTTTAGTATTCTCTCTTTGTCTTTGACTTTTGTATTTTGACCATAATGTGCCATGGAGAAGCCTTTTTTGTGTTGTTATCTATTTGGGTATCTCTGAGCTTCCTATATCTGGATGTCTACATCTCTTGCTAGAGTTGGAAAGTTTCCAGCTATTATTTCATTAAATAGATTTTCTTTCCTTTATTTTTTCTCTTCATCTCTGGGACCTCAAAATTTCAAATATTTGGTTGTTTTATGATGTCCCATATAGGGTCTTTGTTTATTCTTCTTTTTTTCTTTTTCTGTTTTTGTCTGACTGGGTTATTTCAAAAGAATTGGCTTTATGTTCTGAGATTCTTCTACTTGATCTAGTCTGTTGTTGAAGATTTTGAATGTATTTTATATTTTATTCAATGAATTATTCAGTTTCAGAATTTCTGTTTGGTTCTTTTTTTTTTTTTTTTTTTTTTTTGAGACGAGTCTGGTGTCACAGGTGGGTGCAATGCAGATCTCTCCTGCAGCTCGCCTCCGGGTTCAGCATTCTCTGCTCGCTAGTAGCTGGATAAGGGCCGCCCTCGGCTAGTTTTTTTTTATTTTTTAGTAGAATTAGTGTTACAGATTTCGATCTCCTGACTGTATGCCGTCTGGAGTGCTGGGTTTTTTTTTTTTTTTATAATTGGTTTTTTTTTTTTGAGGTTTTTTTTTTTTTTTTTTTTTTCTGATTTCTTTGTATTGTTCTTCCAAATTCTCTTGTATCTCGCTTAGCTTCTTTAATATAATTATTTTTGAATTATTTCGCTAGGATATAACATTTCCCCCCATTGGAATGTTTCTGGAGAATTATTATGTTCCTGTGGAGATGTCATGTTTCCTTCTTTTTTTTTTTGTTACTTCCTGTGTTTATTCTCATTTTTTTGAATTTGCTTTTGTAGGGGAGGCTTTTTTCCTAAAGATGTATCTATGGTTAATAGGATTGGATAGGGCATTTTCGCTTTGATTCTGGGTGTGTGCAGTAGTGTTGTTATGTAGTGTTATGATTTTTTTTTTGACTGTAAACAGTGTCATTGGTGTGTGTGATTTCTTCATTGGTTTTGGTTGTGATGGTTAGTGGAGGGTATGGTGAAGTTTTATTGGGGATGAGAAGTGATACAGTTTAGGTATTTTCCCCTCTAAACCTCAAGTTGAACTGTAATCCCCAGTGTTGGAGATGGGGCCTGGTGGGAGGTAATTGGATCATGGGAGTTGATTTCTCATGAATGGCTTAGCACCACCCCCTTGGTGCTGTCCTCACAATAGTGAGTGAGTTCTTGCAGGACCTGGTTGTTAAAAGTATATGGCACTTCTCCTTGTTCTCTCTCTTGCTCCTTCTCTTGCTATGCGACATTCTTTGTCCTGTGTTGCCTTCTTTGATGAGTAAAAGCCCGCTAAGGCCTCCCCAGAAGCTGAGCAGATGCCAGTGCCATGCTTGTACAACCTGCAGAACCATGAGCCAGTTAATACTCATTTTTTCGTAAATTACCCAGTCTCAGGTATTCCTTTAATGCAAGAATGGCCTAGCACTAGGACACTAGGTAGGCAAGTCCTTGGACTCTGGTGGTGGCAGTAGCAGTCCAGACATGCCTGTTTTGGGGCCCCAGGGTAGTCTGTGCTGGTACTAGTATCGGTGTGTCTAGGCACATTGATTCTTTGGCCTCCTTGTGGTTTGGATGATAATGGTATGCTGGGTGGGTGGATGGGTTCTTGGACTCTTGGGTAGCAAGTGTGGCATGGGTGGTGGCAGTAGTAGTGAACAGGACAAACTTCTGGCTCCCAAGCAGTAAGTGCTTGGTGTTGGAGGTGACTGTGATGGGCTGGGTGAGCCAGTCCACAGAACATCCAGTTGTGAGTACAGGTGGGTGCCAGTTGTGGAGGTAGCAGCAGGTTATATGGGTCTGACCTCAGGCCTCTGTGACGAGTGCTTAGGTAGCAAAGGTGGTAGATGGATCAGGGTGATCCCCAGGTTCCCAGATGGTATGCTTGGGGACTTGGGCACAGAGCTGGGTCTGGTGGACCTGACCTTAGGCCCCCCAGTTTTATGTGCTGGTTCTTATGGTAAATAGGGGTGGAGTGATCCCCAGGCCCCTGGCAGAATGCTGCTGTTGATTTTCTTTTCTAATGTGAGTTGAAATTTTCTTGTATATGCCAGTATATTTGGATTGTATCCTGGACATTCTAATTACTGACTATGAAGCTATGGGTCTCATGGTCTTAAGTCCTATAGAACATATCAATATGTTTCAACAGATAGTTGACCTAGTTAGGATCAACATTCGGTGGTTCATTTTCCTATTTTTACATGTACATAACCAGGCTGGCTCAGATGTGCATTTGCTTCCACTGGAAATGGAAGTGATATGAGAAAGGTTCTATCTACCAACTTTGTTGGTTTTAGCTAATAAAACCAATAAAGGTTTTATTGGTTTGAATTGATGGTTTCAGTTGATGAAAGGACTTTGCATGTATGTTATAGGAAAATAAAATAGGTTTGCTTTCTTCATTTCTTTCAGATTTGGAGTCAAAATATGGACCTGAGAAAGTATCTCCAGAAAATGACATCTCTGAAGTAAATTTACCCAAACAGGTTATAAAGCACATAAGTACAACTCTTGGCCTTGAGGCCTTTTATTTTAGAAACTACTCAGAATATGGAAGATTTGAGGGACTACAGGGGTATCAAGAAGGACATATCAATCAAAAGATGATCAGCTGTGAAAAACTGCCTACTTATACTTCTCATGCTTCTCTTATTTGCAATACACATAAACCGTATGAATGTAAGGAATGTGGGAAATACTTTAGTCGTAGTGCAAATCTTCTTCAGCATCAGAGTATTCATACTGGAGAGAAACCCTTTGAATGTAAGGAGTGTGGGAAAGCCTTTCGACTTCACATACAATTTACTCGACATCAGAAATTTCATACTGGTGAGAAACCTTTTGAATGTAACGAATGTGGAAAGGCCTTTAGTCTTCTTACCCTGCTTAATCGCCATAAGAACATTCACACAGGTGAGAAACTGTTTGAATGTAAGGAATGTGGGAAGTCCTTTAATCGTAGTTCAAACCTTGTTCAACATCAGAGTATTCATGCTGGTGTAAAACCATATGAATGTAAGGAGTGTGGGAAAGGCTTCAATCGTGGTGCACACCTTATTCAGCATCAGAAAATTCATTCCAATGAGAAACCCTTTGTATGTAAGGAATGTGGGATGGCCTTTCGATATCATTACCAACTTATTGAACATTGCCAAATTCATACTGGTGAGAAACCCTTTGAATGTAAAGAATGTGGAAAGGCATTTACTATTCTGACAAAGCTTGTTCGACATCAGAAGATTCATACTGGTGAGAAACCCTTTGAATGCAGAGAATGTGGGAAGGCCTTTAGTCTTCTCAACCAGCTTAATCGCCATAAGAACATTCACACAGGTGAAAAACCATTTGAATGTAAGGAATGTGGGAAGTCCTTTAATCGTAGTTCAAACCTTGCTCAACATCAGAGTATTCATGCTGGTGTAAAACCATATGAATGTAAGGAGTGTGGGAAAGGCTTTAATCGTGGTGCACATCTTATTCAGCATCAAAAAATTCATTCCAATGAGAAACCTTTTGTATGTAGGGAATGTGAGATGGCCTTTAGATATCATTGCCAACTTATTGAACATTCTCGAATTCATACTGGTGACAAGCCATTTGAATGTAAAGACTGTGGGAAGGCCTTCAATCGTGGCTCGAGCCTTGTTCAACATCAGAGTATTCACACTGGTGAGAAGCCCTATGAATGTAAGGAATGTGGGAAGGCTTTTAGACTTTACCTACAACTTTCTCAACATCAGAAAACTCATACAGGTGAGAAACCCTTTGAATGTAAGGAATGTGGGAAATTCTTCCGTCGTGGTTCAAATCTTAATCAACATCGAAGTATTCATACTGGAAAGAAACCCTTTGAATGTAAGGAATGTGGGAAAGCCTTTCGACTTCATATGCACCTTATTCGACATCAGAAATTGCATACTAGTGAGAAACCCTTTGAATGTAAGGAGTGTGGGAAAGCCTTTCGACTTCATATGCAACTTATTCGACACCAGAAATTGCATACTGGTGAGAAACCCTTTGAATGTAAGGCATGTGGAAAGGTTTTTAGCCTTCCCACCCAGCTTAATCGCCATAAGAATGTTCACACAGGTGAGAAGCCATCTTGAATGTAAGGAATGTGGAAAATCCTTTAATCGTGTCTCAAACAATGTTCAACATCAGAGTATTCATGCTGGTGTAAAACCATGTGAATGTAAGGAGTGTGGGAAAGGCTTCAATCGTGGTTCAAACCTTACTCAGCATCAGAAAATTCATTCCAGTGAGGAACTCTTTGTATGTAAGGAGTGGAGGAAGACCTTTAGATATCATTACCAACTTACTGAACATTACCAAATTCACACTGGTAAAAAAAACCCTTTGAATGTAAAGAATGTGGAAAGGCCTTTAGTTTTCTGACACAGCTTGCTGGACTTCAGATCATTTATACTGGCGAGAAGCCATTTGAATTTGAGGAATGTGGGAAGGCCTTCAATAGTGGCTCAAACCTTATTCAACATCAGAGTATTCATACGGGTGAGAAACTCTATGAATGTAAGGAGTGTGGGAAAACCTAGATTTCGTTTGGTCCTGACTGCACATCAAAGAATTCACACTGGTATGAAGCCCTGTGAATGTACAGAATGTGGGAAGACCTTTAGTTGTAGCTCAAACATTGTTCAACATGTTAAAATTCATACTGGTGAGAAACCCTAGAATGTAAGGAATGTGGGAAAGCATTTACTGTGGATTATCAGCTTTCTTAACATCAGAAAATTCATAATAGTTAGAAATTTTATGACTATAAGGAGTGTGGACAAGCCTTCACTGTGTATGAAAAATTTACTCAACACTGGAGAGCTCATATTGATGAGAAATCTTGTGAACATAAAAGAATGTGTGAAGAACTTTCATCATGGCCTGGGATTTGCTCAACGTCAGAGTATTCATACTTCCGAGAAATCTTTGGGTGTAAGGAATGTGGGGCGTTTTATAGCCACACTAAATACCTTAGTGTTTGGAGAAGATAATTCTTGTGAGAAAGTCTTTGAATGAGGAATATAGGGTAGTTGTTATGTTCACAATATACTCCCTATGAAATACTTTACCAGATACAGGCATACCTCACTGAATTGTGCATTGCAGTTATTGTGTTTTTATACAAATTGAAGGTTTGTGGCAACCCTGTGGTAAGCAAGATGATCAGGTCCATTTTCCAAATATCATGTGTGCATTTCATGTCTTTATGTCACATTTTGGTAATTCTCAGAATATTTCAAACTTTTTCATTGTTATGTATCTATCATGGTGATCAATAACCAGTGATTTTTGATGTTACTATTGTAATTGCTTTGGGATACCACAAATCCTGCCCATAAAAGATGGTAAACCTAGTTGATACTTGTGGGTTTGGAAGGAATTGTCAAATATACAACCATATACCCCCACCTAGATTCAAAATTATTGACAAATTTGCACGTTTATTTTTTGTATATTTGTTGTACCATTGAGAGTAAGTTTTAGACATCATGACACTTTACCCTTTATTTAATCAACATGTGTATCACCCAAACATAAAGACAAAATCATATAGCTGTTGTACCATAATTACCCTTAAGGAAACTATTCATAATTCTGTAATATTCCATTTTCAGATTTCTTCATTGGCTTCCAAACCATCTTTTACAGCTATTCATATTCAAAGGAGAATCCATTGCAGAATCTGCATTGCATTTGGTTATCTCTCTTTAGTATATTGTAGCCTGGAAATTGTATGAATGTAGGCTCTCAAAAGCTACAGAGGCTTAAGCCTTAGCTTATAAGTCTGGGCCTTCATGTTTTTTATTTCCCCAGGTGATTGTGATACTAACCAGAGTTAGAGAGCCACTGACCTAGAACATTTCTCCTCATTCTTTTTTTTTTCGCAGTTGCAAGATTTAATAGAGTGGAAACAGAGCTCCCATACAAAGGCCGGGGGGGCACCCAAAGAGGGTAGCCATTGCCGGCTCGAATGCCTGGGTTTATATCCTGATCATTGTCCCTCCCGCTGTGCTCTCAGGCAATAGATGATTGGCTATTTCTTTATCTCCTGTTTTTGCCTAATTAGCATTTTAGTGAACTCTCTTTCCTACCTGATTGGTCAGGTGTGAGCTAAGTTGCAAGCCCCATGTTTAAAGGTGAATGCGGTCACCTTCCCAGCTAGGCTTAGGGATTCTTCGTTGGCCTAGGAAATCCGGCTAGTCCTGTCTCTCAGTAACCCCCTCAAAAGGAAAACCCAAGTGCTATTGGGGAGGTTGACTGATGACTGATCCAACTGCTTCCTGCTGAATTGGGACATAGTAGAGGTTGTGCAGTTGAGATTTCCTCGGGAGGGGTGCCTTCGATGTCCGGAGCATGGGCTAGCAGGCCAGTCCAGGGGTCCGCGGTAGATTTTAGTCATGGACTGCATCTGGGGCTCCATTTGAAGAACAATTTGTAGCTTTACAGCTTCGATTCTGGAGGAGACAAACTTAACAAGTAGGTTAAAGATACAGGGATTGAAATGTATGGTCTGTGGTGCAGGGGGTTATTTCTTTGGCACACTTCACAGACCCTGACTATCTGCTTGATAGTTTTGAAAAGGCCTGATCCATCTCCTCATTCTTAAAAAATGAGATTGAAGCCGGGCACGGTGGCTCAAGCCTGTAATCCCAGCACTTTGGGAGGCTGAGACGGGCGGATCACGAGGTCAGGAGATTGAGACCATCCTGGTCTACACGGTGAAACCCCGTTTCTACTAAAAAATACATAAAAAAAAAAACTAGCCGGGCGAGGTGGCGGGCGCCTGTAGTCCCAGCTACTCGGGAGGCTGAGGCAGGAGAATGGCGTGAACATGGGGGGCAGAGCTTGCAGTGAGCAGAGACTGCACCACTGCACTCCAGCCTGGGTGACAGAGCAAGACTCCGTCTAAAAAAAAAAAAAAAGAATTGTCATAAAAGGCAGATCCCTGGAGGCCTTCCAGTGAAACTCTATCATCATGCAATCTTGGGATTTCTAAGTTGGAAGTCAGAGTCCCTTTGCAAACATAATAAAACACTTTAAAATATTTGCTAAAGTTACAAACCAAGTATGTAAAAATTTAAAAATCACCTACTACTTTTAAAAGCAGAGAAGGCATCCATAGAATATTTCCTTGCTTACAAGCCCAGTGAACATACTGAATTCACTTACAAAAAGAATTTTCTCAATTTTAGCTGCTTTTCAAAAAAATTCTTATTCCTTTTATTTGTAATTCTTTGACATTGTTGCTGCTTCAGGGTTTTGGTAGTTGGACAGTTTGGTCTTTATTATGCTATTAACATTTTTACCTGTCCTGAAACAAGGAAATGCAATCAAAGAAACAGAAGATTGCTGGACCTTGAACCACATTATGGTATCAGATGACCCAGAGTCATGGTTACTAAGTTGTTTAAATTTTTAGTAAAAAAGATGTATTAGAAAGTGATAGGTCAATTAAATAATGGTTTTTTTTTTTGGATACATTTAATTATATAATCTCCTTAAGTTGTGCTTAGTCAGTGGTATTTAATCTGTTGTCTATTATATATCTAACTGGTCAGTTATGTTTATTATATATGTATTGCTTATTAATATCATTGGAGTAACTCATTTTTAAAACAATATATTTCATCTCCTAGGAGAAGAGGATTGAGTATATGTTTTTATTCTTTTTCATTAGGACATTGGGGTATTTTATTATTGTGAAATGTATTGAATATTTCATTTCTTTGGTTTGTGAGTCTGACCTTCACTCCATAGCACTGATTTTTATTTGGACCTCCTTTTACCTGATACATAGGAGTTATGAGTAGCCGTTAGTATGGATACATTTTTCCCATTTCTAGTATACTGTCTTTTCCGAAAGTGTCTGGCTTACTAAAACTTCTCTGTATTTGTTCCATCCTGCGTTTATAGCTGAATACAAATAGGTAACTATATCTTCTAAACAAGCATCAAGTTGGTGGAAAAAAGGCATATAAATAGCTCTTTCTCACCTACTATCAACAGTAAATTAAACATTCTTAACTGCAGCTTCCTTTTGTAAAATTTATAACCATTTATCTTTTGAGTATGACATACTAGATATATGATAATTGTATATTTTGTGTATTAGTATGAACATGATTTTTAACAGACTTCTTCCAATGAACTATTATACAGATGGTCCCCAACTTAATTGCCAACTAACAATTTCTCAGCTTTATGATGGTGCAAAAGTGGTATGTTGCTATAGTTTGGATATTTGTCCCGTCCAAATCTCATGTTGAAGTTTGATCTCAGAGTTGGAGATGGGGCCCTAATGGGAGGTGTTTGGGTCATGGGGGAAGATCCCTCATGAATAAATTAATGTCCTCTCTGGATTGAGGGGTGAATGAGTTATCACTCTGTTAGTTCTTGTGAGAGCTGGTTGTTCAAAAGAGCCTGGCACCTCCTCCCTCACCCTCTTGCTTTCTCTTTTGCCATGTGATGTCTGCATACACTGGTCCCCGTTGATCTTCTGCCATTAGTGGAAGCAGCCTGAGACCCTTACCAGAAGCAGATGCTGCACCATGATTCTTGTACATTCTGCAGAGCAGTGAGCCACATAAACCTCTTTATTAATCACCCAGCCTCAGATATTCTTTTATAGCAACATAAAATGAACTAAGACATACTCAGTCAGAATATGCTCCTCAGATTAAGATGGGGCTATGTCTAGATAAACCCATTGTTAAATTGAAAATATTGTAGGTCATAAATACACATTTGGCATATGATGTTTTCAATTTATGATGGGTTTATTTGGATATAACCCCATCATAAGTTGAGAAGCATCTGTAGTAATTATGATAATTTGATGCTCAAATTGACAAAATGTAGCCAGTAGGAGTCCAGTTACATTTGTTTTTTTGACTTCTTTTTTTCTTTTCACTTTTTAAACGAGTGTTGTTTTCAGGTCCTAAGAAGATGTTTTAGACTGATCCTTCTTTGTTGGTCCATGTCCCCCATGCCTCTTGACCTGAGTCATGGAATCAACTCATGATTCAGTACCCTCGTAGGGCATCCTGGTTCTATTTAGAGGAAAAGAGCCTTAGAGACCAAACAATCTGGCTGTTGTGGGTGCACATGGCAGTTACAGGTATGGAAAAAAGATGTTGCTTTCGTTAGAATTCTTATAATGATTTCAGAGTAGAAAATGTCATCATAAGTTCAGAACTTCACTCTGATTTTTCTCAGCTTACATTTCTATGATCTGCTCTTGTTTGCATTTGGTATTTTATTGAATTATAAGGTTTTATGTATGGTGATAGCTGAGAAGTTTATCTCCTGCTAGGGCCTGTCTGAAATGCTTGCCCATTTTTAGAGATATTGGTTTGATTCAAATTTGTCATGGTGTTTCTGAGCAGTGTTATGAAGAACATTCAACAATGGATGATAGATAGATAGATAGATAGATAGATAGATAGATAGATAGATAGATTTATATTTGAGATGGAGTTTCACTCTTCCTGCCCAGGCTGGAGTGCAATGGTATGGTCGTGGCTCACTGCAACCTCTGCCTCGCGGGTTCAAGTGATTCTCCTGCCTTTGCCTCCCAAGTAGCTGGGATTACAGGTGCTTGTCACCACACCCAGCTAATTTTTGTATTTTTAGTAGAGATGGCTTTCACCATGTTGACCAGGCAGGTCACGAAGTCCTAACCTCAGGTGATCTGCCCCCCTCAGCCCCCAAAGTGCTGGGATTACAGGTGTGAGCCACCTTGCCCAGCTGACAACAGATAATATTTTGGATGTTTGTAGAATCCCCAGAAAAAAAAAAACTGGACAGATTTCTGTCATCCTTTTACAGGGTATTATGATAATCCAGTTTGCAGTATGGGTGATGAGAGACCTGTGTGTTCTAATTTCTAGGATACCATTCCATTTCTATGAGTCTTCTGCACAAGTGTGGTCTGTAGGGTTTCAATGTGGTTATTTGTAATTGTTGAAAGTGAAACTTTCCCCATGGATTCCCCAGTGGGTCAGAGTCTGTTGTTATAGATTAGAGTCCAGGATTATAGAACCAGTAATTTTTATTAACAGTTGGCTATGACTATTTAGAATAAGGACTGCATTTATTTTTCCAAGGTGTTTCATGTGACATAACTTATGGCAAGTAGGATGTAAGTGAATATTTTGGCAGTTCTGGAAACCTCTCTTAAAACACAGCTGGCTTAATATATTAATATTTGAGAAATCTGGGTGAAGGATATCCAGAAATTCTTTATGATTTTTCCCAGTCGTGTGTAAGTCTGAGAGTTCATACTATTCTGATGCCAGCACTGGAAAAATTGATGATCAGTTTGGAGCAAAGCCACAATATCAGGCTTACACCCATATTATATGACAGAGAAATTAACCTTATCTTGTTTTATCTGCTTTAATTTGGGGCAGTTTTACTATTTACCACCAAATTAAATCTTAAATGATATACCTAGATTGTCATATATTAAGACTAAGAACAGTCAAT